AGAGCCAGATTTGCAAGGGATAGGCATTGTCTCCCAGGATGTAATAGCCAGCATTCACCCCACCAATGTCCCTGGTGCAAGGTGGAAAGTAGTTGCCACGACTGGCTAGCTCCTTCTTGCTGTGATCACTTTCCTTCTTGCTGGGATCACTTTCCTTCTTGCTGTGATAACAAACCACACATCAATAAACAAGTAAACGATCGCTTCCACATCCTCCATTGTTGTGTGTGTTTTGTGAGTTGTGTCGCATTGAAGATGACGCCACTGCAGTTTTACCCAGCGTCTCTCCGCCCAAAAAGCCCGCCAAAAAGCTGATCGCCCCGCCTACACTGCGTTGCTACCCCAGGTCCTAAACTATAATGGAAATGCGCCACGGCCTCGGACGGCCAGCGAGGCAGCCCGAGGCCTGAGCGAGGACGCTTAGGGATGCTTAAACGGGGCTACCCCGTTGCAGTGGAAATGCGCCATAAGAGATAGCTAAGATCAGCGCCATATAGATATAATATATCTATATGCCGCTGGCTAAGATAAGATAACTTTAACAAGATGCCTGTGTGCTTAGTACCAGGTTGTTATCATACCAGCAATGGGTTTTGCTCGTTCTTTCGCTTCCCGTCTGATGAAAGGACCAGGAGTGGCTGGATCAAGTTAGCTACCTAGCTAGTAGCTAGCACGTTAGTTAGCATTACAGCCTTGTCATTTGTATCAGCCTTACCATGAAGTAACATTAAGTAACCCAAAATGTTAAACAGTAAGAGTAGTAGTCATATTTGTTGAACCCTTTGAAGAGTACTGTCACCGGTGTGATCATTCTATAATACACAGTTTAAGCCCGGGGGAGAAATGCTAACGCTAACGCTAGCATCGGCGATCGCCGATCTGTTCTACTTCATGCTATCTGCACAAACGGTTGACATTAAACATTAAAAAGACCAGGCAGTTCAGAGAGAATCAAAGGAAGACAGGCAGGCAGCTTTGCATGACATTCTTCTGGACGTGTTTCATTGTGGTGATAGTGAGGGTAGTCAATTGTTTTGTTGACAAGACAGTAGTGACAGCCATCTTGGTGACGTGTGTTGTTCTGCTAGACCAGAGATGTAGTTCATTGAGCGTTTCACACAAACAAATGTGTTACTTCACAGTTTTACGACACATTTTTTTTTTTTGACTTGCATAATGATCTTTTAAATTGACAAACATCATATGTGTAATTCGTGGCACAATTCAAATGGGATCGAAAGATAATCTTTCTCTCTCCATTGACTTCAATACATAATTTTTTCGAAATAAGGTCCCATGGAGCTCCCCCGAAAGGGGAGGGACTTCGCCACTCTATGGAGAAATCCCATTGCTTTTTTGTCGAGGGAACCCGAGCGCAGCTTACTTCCGGGTTTTAGGACTCGTCACTGCACCACTTTACACATGCATAAACTTCACAGCGGGCGGAACTTGTCATAAAGTCCGCGAAAATAGAGCCCACCCATTTAGAAGGAAGATATGATTGGTCAATTGTACTGTCATTTGACATTACTCTCTCATTGAGTTACTATAGCTGGCCCTCTGTGAATTTACAGCAGGACAGTAACGGAGCGTCCACACTACAGCTTCAAAAAAAGCTTGGAGCTGGGCGTGTCTGAAGCTTGGGGATGTTATTCAAGCAACGCGACCAACAACCAATCACATGAATCTCCCGCCCCCGACATACAAAGCAAAAACCCCCGGGGATTTTATGGGAGCAATATATATATAAACTTCCCAAACAGGCCACCACTGTCTCTGCCACCTCCCTCCATGCCTGGTTCCTCCGGTTTGTATCCCGGTAGGTGAAGAGGGTCTGGTCATACAAAACCGGGTGATTTGCTACGGCGATAATTAGTTTCTCCTCCATCTTTTTTTGAAATATAGAAATGAACGGCGGGATATCTCTCCCAGCTTAGACGCGGTTTGATTGGCTACGGCTTGAGCTGTCAGATTTTCCGAAACGGGATTTGATTGGCTGGCGCTGGCTACTCCGGCGTCAGAAGTTGAACATTGTTCAACTTCTGACGCCAGAGACGGCAGAGACGGACCGCTATGCTACCCACAATTCAGTTCGGCGAAAAAAAGCGGCAACGTGACGTCACCCCATTCAAAGTCAATGGGCAGATTGAAGCTGTCGACGCTGTCGATGCTGTAGTGTGGACGGGCCGTAAAACTCGCAGAGAGGGCCAGACGAGCTTCTTTCATTTAACCCTTCACATTCCAACAGAAACTGAACAGGCAGATTCGAAGGATTTATTTATTTTGAAATGTTATTTTAAATACAATTAAATACAATTATTTTTGGTAAAACTAATGAAAAATATTTTTAAATTTTAAAAAAAGTTTATTTTTAATGTTTTCAAATATTATTTTTTAGAATATCTAATATCATTTTTTAGCTATATAATGTTAAAAAATCACGACTGATTTCGGAAAAGAAACACTGCTGCTGCCATCTTATATATGCTGTAAAATGTATTATCTCTTCGATTTACACACGGCATCTATTGCACGTCTGTCCGTCCTGGGAGAGGGATCCCTCCTCTGTTGCTCTCCCTGAGGTTTCTCCCATGTTCCCTTTAAACTGTGGGTTTTCTCTGGAAGTTTTTCCTTGTACGATGTGAGGGTCTAAGGACAGAGGGTGTCGTTTTTCTCATACTGATATTCTGAACAATCTGTGCTGTTGTATTTGCTGTAAAGTGTCTCTACTGTAGGCTATTTTTATTATATGTACAGCACTTTGGCTCGACCAAAAATCGTTTATAAATGTGCTATATAAATAAAACTTGATTTGATTTGATCTTGTATGACGTCACTCCATGTCGGCAGTGAAGATTGCATCGGTGGTGTCTTGCGTATAAATTATAATTTATTTGTGCATGGCAACCGGCTAAGAGCATGGCTAAGATCGATATACACAATATAAATGTTAGTTTTGGTGCTAGGCATTTTAGGAAAAAAATGACTGAATTTTCTGTCTTAATAACAAACAAAAAAACAATGAGTTTTTTTGTATTCTTAAGTTATAAGAATAGTGTTGAAATATTAAGAATAAACTTGACATTACAAGTTTAAAGTAGAACATTTGAAAATAAATCAAATTACTTTATAAAACTACATTTACTGAAAGTTGTACTTTTCTCAAAATCAAACCCATGTTCCTCCTCAGGTTTGATCCTTTATACCTGACTCTGATACTGGACTGTCCTGTGGATGATGGAGCCACCAACACACACAGCATGACACAGCGTGGTTTAAATAGATAGTTGATCCTTGGGTATTTCATACACATATCCATAAGGCAAGCAGATACTGTGGGGGAAACATCTGAAGCAATTGGAGTCAGGCCTCAGAGAGACACGAGGAGAGCAGGAGCTTTGAAGGCAAACACTGACGGTTTATTTGGAGCTTCGGCCAGAGAATTCACAAAACCAGTCAAAGAGTCAGAGGTTCTGACTTCACGGTAGAGTTGCCACAATCAATTCTGAAGAACTCTACACCAGACCCATGTATTTAGCTAGTTCAGAGAGAATAATCAACATTGTGCATAACAAGATAGAATCATAACACCTCTATCAGCTGACGTCAACAAGCAGGAGCAGGGAGACAGAACATTGAGAGCACAGCAGCCAAGGTTACAGGTGCGTGTGCTCAGTCAGGACAGCTTGAACTGATCAACTGGGTCAAAGTTATGGGCCTTGGGAAATATTTCCCCAACAGATACAATTTATGAACATTACACATACATGATGATATTGATCTACTGCCATCTTACCACAAAGTTATAGCTCTCATTCTTAACATCATCTCTGTGATCACATCTACAATATAATTCTATATATAACGTTTTTTATACACATTCAAACTACATATTATAATTAGGGCCGTGACTTTAACGCGTTAATTAAGATTAATTAATTACACAAAAATTAACGCATTTTAATCGCACTTATTTTTGCACCGCGGAACGTTTCTCACTGGATGAGTTTCAGGCGTACCGATTATACTGGAGCACCAACTAACGTTCATGACTTCAGACAACAACAAACCACAGTGAACAACAGTGGGAAATGTTGTTTTTAAAAACGGACGGATGGAAGCGTCGATAAGAGCACGGTTGTGTGCAAATTATGCAAAAAGGAATTATCACCGCATATCACCGCAGCACATCAAGCCTCAAATATCACCTCAATGCAAAACATATAGCAGCTAGCGTGGACGTTAGCCTCTTTTATCGCGTTCACACCATAAAGAGCCGGTACTAAAATTAGTTCATGAGAACCTTTTTACCCCCACGAAAGTCCCTGCTAGAGAGCAGAGAGCTGCTAGAGAGCAGGGACTTTCGTACGGCTCTCTTGTGAGAAAATAGCTATATTTCTGATTGGCTGGGCGGATTGCAAACCACGCCCCGTAAAACTCCCAAAAAGTTTGGTGAAGCCGCCATTTTATTATCCTCGCATTAGCATTATTAGCATTAGCCCAGCGCAGAAACGCAGAGAGACTAACTTATGGCAACACAAAATAAAACATGGGAGCGGTGGAGATGAGGAGGTGTCGGCGTTCTGGCGATTTACTCGGAAGGCTGCTGGGACTCCCAGCAGCTTCTACTGAAGCCAGTCCCCAACTCCGGGGACTTCCGGCCGGGGACTTTGGGCGGCAGTATACGCCGTGAAGTGGTTTGCGGCCTGCCAGTAAACCCAAAGCAGAAGAAGAAGAAGTGACGTCAGCGGCTTCATTTGTTCTCATGAACTAAGTTCTCATGAACCTTTGTGGGAAAAGTACCGCAGTGTGAATGCGCCTAATGGTATACTAAAATCCATGTGAAAAAAATTGCTTCTCACTGTTCTTAGGTCAAATATTTATATGCGATTAAAAATGCGATTAATTTCGATTAATTAATTACAAAGCCTCTAATTAATTAGATTAATTTTTTTAATCGAGTCCCGGCCCTAATATAATTATGTATAATATGTAATATATATCTTAAAACACATTTCATTTTTATTTCACAATCCTTGGATACAGCTTAACACAAGTTCCATTTCCTCCAAAAAATCATAGCAAAGTAAAGTAGTTCATCCAAATGCTTTCCACAATTACTGCTGAAACAACAAGCTAATATAAAATGTACGGGTTGTTTCCGTGACTGTGACCATTTTTGAATTTTGAAACATAAGGCTGAGTGACTGGCTGTGGCCAAAGAAGTCCCTGTGCAGGGGCACGGCTGTGAGATCATGTTCCCTCTGATATTTGAACATGATGTGGCCTCCACTTCACAAATCCTGAACATGTGAGCTTCACCGAAGTCTTTCATGTTTGAACGTTGTGACAGGATGTTAGAAGAACCCTGAGGAGACATTTGCAGAGCTGCTGTCTTCACTTTCAGTTTGTGCATCTCCTTCACCATTCTCCCTCTCAGCCGGATAGAAAGCAGCAGGTCAGGGCTGCCTGCAGGACAGGTGGTGATGATGTCACTGAGACGTCATGTGATCACAGCGCAGCGTTCCTCCTGTCAGCTCCAGACTCTGCTCTGGGGGGCCTCCGCCTGTGGCCAAAAGTACACAGAGACACTTTTCATTTCCTAAAGAGGAACACCTTAGATTACCTTTAGACCTTAGGCCTTGTTTAAATTATAGTTGAAAACCTAATACAATAAGCTTGTGCCCAAACATTATCCCCCAACCAGAATGCCCATTAAAGAGACAATACAAAGTAAGGACACGTCAAGCATGGGGATGATCATGGCTCCTAAGGTTCCCAGCAGGTAAATATTGATGAGTTAGAGTGGGTTACATTTTTGGTTTGGTTTTGATGGACACCTGTAGGATAATGAGATATGTGTGTTTTCAGTAGCTATGGTAGAACATGTGATCACTGTATATTCTAAACATAACATTCTTGTGTCCTGTGTTAGTTACCTGTTCACACAGAAGCGGCTGCAGTCGGAGTCAGTTTGCTGTATGCAGACACAGCGCTGGGCCCTGCCCCCCCGCTCAGTCCCAGCAGAGCGCCGCTCACGTTGGGGCGCCTGGTAGCTGGACAGACCGTATGGGACAGTGTGCCTGAAGAAGAGAAGGGAACTCTTGTACTTTGAGACTAAAGGCTCGTCATGTTCCTGTGTCAGTGATGCAGAGGCTGGAACAGTGGCAGTGGCACATTGAGAGGTGTTTCTAATATGCAGTCCGCTGTTTGTTTATGAACAGTAAACTCAAACTGGAGTGCTGCTGGGTATGTCAATGATTTGGTCATGTCCACTATTGGGAATACATTTTAAAGACAACATATCTAGCATAAGAAAACATTTCATTGCATATTGAGAGCCAGCATTAGTTTATAATATGAATAATGATAATATTATTATTTCAGTTTCCACCTTCTCTGGTCATCTCGCGTATTCACTCACTGTGTGATGATAGTTATAAAAACCTTGTGTCGAGCTTCCTTATCTGCACCGTGAAGTAGAGATAACAGAGCAAAGGGTGTTTCAAGGTTCTCAAAGTCTTAAGAGAGTTTTTGGCAAATGTATTTATCATCAATATTACATGGGTGTATAACCTACACCCCACGTTAACCTCGCCTCAATCTTCTCAAGGTCAAGATCATCTCAGGTGGGTTCCACATTGATGGTAGTATGAGTACACAGCAATGAAACGGTCCAATCTCCTGTGATATCTTCTATTTACTTATATGAATGCACTTGTGTGGCAAGCTCCTGAGTTTCATGTTATTTGTACTCTTTCTCTAAATGAAGACCTTTGTCCCAATGTAGACTGGGAATGAGTTCAATCTGAGCAGGAATAAGCACATAGACAAAGGTGTGTTGATCACATTACCTTGCCATGTTAACAGGGACTAAAATGAACTCAGTGAAAGGAGAGTAACTCCAATCTCTTTGAAACTGCAGAAAATCGAAACCTTTTCAATTCCTCCTCAGCTGACCTCAGCATGCATCACATCTGAAGGTCGGCTGCTGGTGAGCTCTACATCTGAAGCCTGGCTTTCCCGTTCACCTCCAGCTCGAGGTGAACACCATGTATTTGCCTAAGAAGAATCTGAAGATAATGAAACTACTTTCTGAAAGCTTGCAAAGTTGTATTATTATTTGCATTGTGCCTGCATGGTTAACCAGTTTAACACAAATTGGTCACTGACAGCCAGGGGTTTCCCAGAAAAGGTTTCTGTACGGTCCAGAGAGCAGCAGCACTCGGCCCGAAGCCTTATTGCGTTTCTGAGGGACACCCTGGGCAACTGAAACCTTTTGACATCATATGTTCATATTACTTATTTTATAACTGTCAAGCACTAAACCTGGAATAAGTTGGCATCTTTCAACACATCCATATGTCATGTGTGTCCTGATGTATACAAGATGTAATGTGTTGATAGCTTTCCAGCTTTTCAATGTTCGTATACTAATAAGATACTGAAGCTGGAAGGCTGTGATAACAGACACTATGTAAGTAGATGAGTAACACAGTAAAGCATGGTTGGATGATTCTTCAGGGAAACCCTATAGAAGCATCAAAGGGACAGAACAGTGCTATCAGATCAAATAAGACTTACTCTGGTGAGTGGATCCAGATGATGTCCAGGTGGCAGTAATACACACACTCCTTGTCTTTGTAGGTGTAACATGTGCATCTCTTGAAGCGTCTGGGGGGCCCCTGGAGGCCACAGGTAGAGCAGGGCTCCACTTCATGGGGCGTCCCCTCCACCTCCTCCCCCTGGCTCACAGCTGCGCTCCATGAGGAACCTGCTGGATCACACACTTGCTCTCTTAACTTCTGCCTCAAATTGCATTACTGAACATATTATATTAGAAGTGGTAATCCAATGCTGGTGACTGTAATATCAACACTGGCTGTGATCTGATTGGTTGCCTGGTCAACTGACAATGAATTATCTGATAATGGATTCATTTCAACAGTAGACATAGCAAACAGTGTCCCCGTGAGGCTTCTACTGTGTTACACATCACTAAATGACCAGAATCAGAATCGGTTTTATTACCAAGTAGTTTTACACTTCACTTTTGGCTCTTGTTACCTGACAAGACCACGTGTCTTTATATTTACATAGACTCAGTGTTTGCGCCTAAAAGATACCACAACTTTACTCTTTTTGTTGTTGTTTGTTATATTTGTAGTGACTTCAATGCTGATGTGAACAGTATGAATACTGAAGCCTCACAACAAATGTCTAACACTTCTGGGCTACTCACCGTTTGCCAAAGATGCTGTCACCAGGATAAGAATCCAAACAGGTGGCATGATAGCCATCACACGTGAACAATCGGAAAAATAAAACTGCTGTTGAAGAGATGTGCAGGCGCTGTCCTCAGTCCTGTTAATGTTCATCAGTCTCCTCAGCGACAGAGTAGAGCTGCTGCTCCAGGTCCTCCCACTCTCACTCACACACACTGCTTCAATGAAAACTGGCAGATTAGACACAAGTCACCAGTGACACACCAGTTTCCTGTTAACTTCAAAATAAAAGCTTCCATGTCAAACACTGATGGAGTGCAGGGCCATCTGGAGGTTTGCTACTGTTACTCTGGAGAAGACTCGTAAAGGGCAGAGTTGGGGCAGTCATCGCCAAATTGTCTATTTACAGCTGGAAGACCTAAAAATAGAGTATTTTGAAATATTCCAATTCTTTTTTTCTTATTTTAATCATATATTAACTACAAAAATAAACAGGAATTGTGGTGCATTCTTGGCAGCGCAGCCATCCACTGAAATCTGTCAGCTATTTAGCATCCGAAAAGAATAAAGCACACCCGAAAGACAAAGGCACTTACAAAGAGAAGCCCTTCACTGAGGCAGAGGAGCTCAATTATTCATAATTCAGCGAATGAATGACATTGGTCCCTGTGAAGAATGGACCAATCACTGTTACTGATGTTTGTGCCTCACTGGTGTTTGGAGTTAGTGTCTACACCTTAAAGCCAAATGTTACATCTTTGGAAATATAATCCCATGTTCTCTTTTGTTTAGTTTGCTGGTGTGGCTGTAAAAGCCAATGAAACAACAGCACCTCCTGACCATGCTTAAAAGGTTTAAAGTCAAAAGTGACATTGCCCAGCCGGTAGAGTTATGAGGAAGCATTCCCTGGTATTGCCCACCTGCTGATGATGATTCCACATTCCCATTCCCTATACTGTGAGAATGGCTATAGGCACACATGGCAACCCACAGAGGCACATCCTTAATACTGTATCATCACAAAACAAGGCATCAACTTTTGAAAAGTAACCGCTTCCTGAAAAGGATAAAACAAATCTCTTCCACAATGACAATCCTAACATTTCTGACATTAACCCACTCACATTGACAAGAAAACTATATTTAATACAATAATGCAATTCAAATCCTCTATATTTTGTCTATTCAAATGAAAGTGTGTGTTCACTAGTATTTGAGTCTAAATGCATTAATGAAATCAACACTGCATTAACAAAATTATTTATTTTACTGGTGCAAAATCGTCCACATCTGCTTTTGCTGAGGTGTATTGCAGAACATGTGTGAATGGCCTGCAGAGCGCCACCTGCAGGATGCCTGGCTTCAATCAGCTCTCGGGCCAGAGTTCAGGGACCTGAGGAGGGGCTTGTGGTGGTGGCGAGGGTTCCACAAGAAAATTATAAACAACAAAATTAAAATGAACATTAATTCATTCAACATTTGAACAATTTGAAACACATTAATAAATCAACTTGCACTCCTGCACACATACAACTGTAAAGTCCAAAAGTTGTTAAGCACTAATAGGCTGAGGAATGGAAAGCATGTCATCGTGAGCTGTAGCTGTGTAAATAATGCAAATGCTGAATTATGTACAAACATGTTCACATGCACCCACTTCCTGTTCTTGTGACTGCAGGTGCCTAATCATAGCTGCTGACTCATCACAAAACCCAGGCTGGGAAAGGCTCAGCCAATGCCGCTTCGCCTGCTGATCGGACAACACAGATCTGTTTAGTGCTGCAGCATGTGAGTCACACACACAGGTGGTGTCTGAAGATTCAGAGTAAAACAGAGTGCACTTTGAGAGAGAGAGAGAGAGAGAGAGAGAGAGATAGATGAGAGAGAGAGAGAGAGAGAGAGAGAGAGAGAGAGAGAGAGAGAGAGAGAGAGAGAGAGAGAGAGAGAGAGAGAGAGAGAGAGAAGCGGTCTGCTTGCACACAGAGCAGGAGTTTGTGAGAGAGCCGGCTTGAGAGTCAATTTATCTTCAGAATATAATTGATTGCAGCCTCCCTTGTCCCTGGCTGGCTTGCTAGCTCGTTGGTAACGTAACTGATGTCTTCTAATGTGCCTGCATCTGGTGCTGAGTTGCCATAGAGAGAGAGAGTGTGTGTGTGGGAAGGCAATCGTTCTGTATCTGTATGTAAGAGCGTGTCAGCAGTTCAGGGGTAGAAGTGTGTCTGGAAACGGCAGCAGCAGACAAGCAGAAAGACACAAGGTAGATGTAAAGCAAGCAAACTCGCTGCTCACACAAACCATAGCCTGCTGTTCCATCTAACTGAGACCTACAGGTGAACACTCATCAAGAGACCTTGAGAACAAGACAGGAAGGCTTGTGTCATGTAGCTTTCCTATTGAGCTAGCTGGCCAAATAAAAAGAGGTCTTTGTTTTATATTCATTCACTCTTTCATATGTTCAGTTCGAAGCAAGCCTGGGTGCTGGTATTGGGCATGAGTGGAATGAAGGCAAACACCTCTAATCCCAGATAGCTACCCACATTGCCACTAGCCACAGTAGGGAAATGATCAATTAAGAAATTAACAAGTTAAACCAGATACAAACGGTGTGTTGATCTGCATTGATCCTAACATGGGGTTGTGGGGGGCCAGCTCTGTGAACACTGTGTGTGACAGTCAGTGTGTGAACACAGTGTGTGACAGTCAGTGTGTGACAGTCAGTGTGTGACAGTCAGTGTGTGACAGTCAGTGTGTGAACACTGTGTGTGACAGTCAGTGTGTGACAGTCAGTGTGTGAACACTGTGTGTGAACACAGTCTGTGAACACTGTGTGTGACAGTCAGTGTGTGAACACTGTGTGTGACAGTCAGTGTGTGACAGTCAGTGTGTGACAGTCAGTGTGTGAACACTGTGTGTGAACACAGTCTGTGAACACTGTGTGTGACAGTCAGTGTGTGAACACTGTGTGTGACAGTCAGTGTGTGAACACTGTGTGTGACAGTCAGTCTGTGAACACAGTCAGTGTGTGAACACAGTCAGTGTGTGACAATGTGTGTGACAGTCAGTGTGTGAACACAGTGTGTGACAATGTGTGTGAACACAGTCAGTGTGTGACAGTCAGTGTGTGAACACAGTCAGTGTGTGACAGTCAGTGTGTGACAGTCAGTGTGTGAACTCAGTCAGTGTGTGAACTCAGACACGTCACAGCTGATTTCTGACAGTCAGAATTTCACAGTTATGAGTGAGCAGTTTTACTGTATACTTATAATAACAATTCACAATACCCACTTGCCTACTGACCTTCACATTTATAATGTTTTGATAAGCAATGTATAGCCAAATGGTCAATGACAGTTTGAGATTGTTGCGTTGTGTTGGCGTTGGTCACTATCCTAACTCAGCCTTTAATCTTACTGCTGGCTCTGAAGAGAATACATGTGCTGCAGGTAAAAGTCCAAAAAGCATATGTGGACGTTACAGCTCGATGATGAGCTTGCCTTCATCGTCACTGCTGCTGGTGTCCTCTGTGTGTTCCTGGCAGCTCTGCACAGGCCTCGCTCCGCTCACCGGCACACACTCGGCCGGCTGGTAGCCATGAAGCTGGGCACATCCGAAAACGCCCCCCCCACAAATACTGCTCTGTGCCCTGAGGTCATTCGCTGCTTTAACCACAGTGTCCTGATCATCCTCAGGTTGTAGGTGTGGAACAGGCTCTGATGGCAGCAATGCAGTATGACCCAGCAGCACCTTGGAGCTGGACACTTGCTTTAGCTCACTCTGACACTTGGTTAATTCAGCATGTTGGACGCTGACGCTGCTCTGCTTCTGGTCCTGCTGTGAAAATGTTCCTGTTTGCTGAGGGCTGGGTTGAATTGGAGACAAAGCATGTTGTCTTTCTGTTGATATGGCCTGTGCTTTGATACGTTGATTTGGATAAGATTCACATAAGCTCTGTGTTTGTTGGTCAAGAGTGCTGCCGGAAAAATAGAAGTTGTTCATTTCCAATGGAGCCTGTGGACAGTTGGAAAGGCTGGACCCACTGCCGGCAGAGTGCAGAGTTTCTGACTTGATCTGTGGAGGGTACTCAGACATTCCTGAGTGTGTCTGGGGAAAACGCTGCTCAGACTGTTTAAAGGCATTCCCCTTTACCTCTAAGTCTTCTGCCTGTTCAAAAGAGAAGAGTATTACCGTGTTACAATCATAATCCTCCCTCCATTGAAGCTTGTCATTTGCTTCCTGCATTTCTCAAGCTCTGCAAAGCTAAAGTGACATAAATGATGAAAAGATAATCCAAGGATTTGTTATATAGTAAAGACTTGTGTAAGTGCTTTTCTCATAATGTGTTGCTGATGTGTTTATCTTTGGAAACATCTCTGTAAAGCCTCATAAATGATATCTCACTGGCCACTGTGTGTGGTTTAGAATATCTGTTCATTCATCTATTCAACTACAGGCTTTTCCCTTATATATGTACTGTGCTGCACATCATGTAATTAGACCAACATTATGTCTGTCTCTCTCTCTTGGTAAATTCCTTTAAAAAATGAAAAACAAATCTGTTACCCCCATTATACCTGAAACCTCGTCCCACATGATCCCAAGATCAGGAGAGTCTGAATCTGTGAGGGATTGGTAGAAGGTTTAAGGATAATGAAACACTAGAAACTAGAAAGGATGCTGGATGGGAGAGAATCCTGTGCATTTGAAGTGTACTTGCTGTTTTCCTGTCTGTAGTTTAGCGTGGGTTTATGTTTAGTATATGTACACATGTGAAGAAGGAGGTAAGGAACCATAGAAAGGACAAGAGATGATTGGAAGTTGTTTGGGCTGTACATTTATGTGTGAGGAAACTCTGAGAGGGTGAGGATAAAATAATTGTAGAATAAACCTGCATCAGCGAGCTGTGAACACATTCCATCTCACCTCTGACTTCGTCATATCTGGTGAACTTGTATGTGTGCAGTGTGACTTGGGCTGGTCTCTCTTGGTTCCTCCACTCTGCCGGGCCCGGCCCTGCTGGGTGCTCTCTCCTGGGCCCATGGTCTGCGCCTCCTCTATCAGCCCTAAGGGAATGTAAAACTCTTAACGTAGAAACCATAACTGGTACAGATTTTTTCGAAAGCACCAAAAAATACTTTATCATAATATATTATATTATTATTGTTATAAATCTTATATCTATCTCATACTAACATCATATTGACAGTCCATCAACCAAATAAAAGACAGCAATACATGTTCTTGTGGCAGACATGGGCAGATGTCTCTATGGAAAACAAAGGGACATGCGCTCTCTCTCTGAATTAGAATTGCCTGCTGCTGTAAGGAAATGACGTCCTCCCCGGCCCACTCCTCTACACCTGACTGCTATATGTTGGTGTCGAGCCTTTTCCGGACAGCTAGGAACTTGATCATTGTCTGAAGTCCCAAACTTCTTAAAAAACATTAGTCTTGTATGCAGGACGTGGTATAATGAAACTGTGAGGCTTGACAATGATGTCAGTTTGCCATGGAGAGATGTTTAAGCGAGAAATCTTTTGATTATTTCTTTGTAATAATAATTCCTGCATTTATTTTTTCAAATTGCAAAAAGAAACAGTGATCATACAGCGCCCTCTTGTGGTTAAAACTGGTTTCTCTCTTAGAATGTGTTGAGTCAAACCACTTAGTGAGAACTATCCCAGTGCAGTCTGTTCATAAGTATTATATAAAGTTGCAATAGAAAGTAAGTCAACCCTTTGGAATTTCCTGGTTTTATGCATGAATTGGTCATTAAATGGGATCTGATCTTCATGTAAGTCACAAGTATAGACGCACATAATGAGCGTAAGCTAATAATACACACACATATTTCATCTTTCATGTTTATCATGACGATATCATGATAAACTTGGAAATGATTATTTCCCTTGATGGTGGCAAGCTGTCCAGGCCCTGAGTCAGCAAAGCAGCCCCAACTCAAGATGTTCCTTGCACCGTACTTGATGTTTACATGTTGGTATGTGGTGCCGTTTTTCTGCCACGTAGTGCTGCTTGTTCTTCTCCTTTAATGCAACCATAGTTTAATCAGACTAAAAAACATTTTCCCAGTATAGTTTTGTAGTTTTAGGCAAAACTTCAGGTGCACAGTGGTGTTATTTTGGAGAGCACTGATTCAAAAAAAAGTTTAACAACTCCTAACTCAATTTACTTTCGTTAAAGTCTAGGGGTTCACATACTTTTTCCAACCTACACTGTGAATGTTTGAATGATTTATTCATAATGGACAAGAACAATACAATAATCTGTGCGCTATTAGTTCAAATGGATTGTGTTAGTCTATAATTGTGATTTAGATGAAGATCAGATCATGTAATGACCAATCCATGCATAACACCAGGATATTCCAAAGGGTTCACATACTTGTTCTTGCCTCCATTTAAGTCACATTAGAGTTTTTTCTGAACCCCAGCACCCTGTGCAATGACGACGAGGTCATGAGATGTTCACATTCTGGGTCCTCAGTATGGTCTTCAGCAGGGAGAGCCTCTATCAGGGGGAAGAGTCATGTGGCAGGTGAAGAAAGGGACTGGCTCTAAAGCAGGGGTGTCAAACTCAAAACTCAAATCCGGCCCGCGACTTCCTTTTATGTGGCCCCGCAAGAGCTTGCAAAGAATATAACACGTGTAATATATACGGTTACATGACACTTTACAGAAGCTCATTGCCCATAAACTATATGTCCCACAATGCATCTCATTTTGTGACAGACTGAAGAGACTTGCAATTACTTGCCCCAGACTTCTGCTTTCAGACATAGTTAATTATGAAGTTATTACCCTATCCGATAATAAGCCAATGCAGAGGCAATAATGTAATTCAATACTTTATTTTATATATATTAGATATTTATGTATATTTATAAAGTCTTAAAGTTACAACCGGCCCTTTGAGTGCAACCATAATGCTGATGTGGCCCGCGATGAAATTAAGTTTGAAACCCCTGCTCTAAAGGCTTGGTTGTCATGGCGATACTGAATGTTTTACTATCATTACATTTTCCCAGAATTCTGTGGCTGAACACTAATTGTCAGTTTTTTGCCATTCCTGTCAGTGTTTCATTTCAAATCAGATGTTCTCGACCACAAAGGGAAATCAATGACACATTCACACATTCTTAATTTGATTAAAATATTCACATATACCTGCAGCAGGGCTCTGATTTCTTCTGAAGACATCTGGAACGTCTTCAGGTCTTTCTACCTGGATACTAGAAGACACTGGAACAATCTGAGCCAGGGGTTTCTCCGAGTGGATTGAACTGCCTACATCCTGTGACAGCTCACTTTTCTGTGAAAGGTTCTGGGATAATGTGGTTTGCACTGGATAACTGCAGGAGATGGATGCTTGTGGCTTCAACTGTCTTGGATGTTCGCATTTATTGATTGAAGATGAAGAAAGTGACCTAGAAAGTTGATCAGCACATGCAGTTGCGGAGGCCTGACCGGGATGGATTCTTCCACTATCTAACTTCCTGCTTTCATATGCAGAGGCATCCTCCACAGCTTTAAGAGTGCCTACATTACCTGCTTGATTGTTAAGTATGTTTTGTCTTGCTTGGCCCAGTCTCTCAGATCTTGTTTGAGAGGTCAGCCCACCGCGGCCGAGCCTCCGGTGCTCCTCAGCACAACAGTTCAGTGAAAGAGAGTGTTCCTCCTCAGAAGATTGGCCCCTTCCTGACTTGACATCGCTGAGTGAAGCAGCAGTTGACGTAAAATGACCAGTGGAGCTCTGAGTCGCAGTGACCGTGTAACTTTTGTGTGGGCGATGCGACGGGCCAAGTGCTTCAGGATGTGTAGATTCAGCTGATGGTGTAGCCTGAGTGAAGTGTTTCTGTTCAGTCAGCTCTGCCTTCACAAATAGAACGGGCACTGGAGGTTTCATTCTCTCCATGTTAAGTGTGGGTAAAGACTCACTTTGTTCCAAATCAAAGTTTAGAGGTTTTTTCTGGATCACTTCCGGGAGTGTTGCTTCACCTCTCTGTGAGAGGGCACTGACTGATTGTCTCTCGATGTGGGGTTCAATGAGAGCCAGCTGCTCGTCAGATATGATCTGGAGGCAGATCTGGAGGTCTGCTGTGTGAACATGAAACACATTCTGATCATCTGGCCGCATCTGGTCCAACGGCACAATGTGAGAAGGCAGCACAAGGGGGTTTGAGCTGCCATATGCACAGTTTACAGAGCTGAAATGCTCTGATGCTGGCAAGAGTTGTGTGTGTGACAGAGGGGGGGGGAGGTTAGCCTGATTGTGTGAGAGAGCTGTAATGGCAGCAGGAGATGACTGATAGTTTGCTGTGGTTAAGTAAGGAGTAGAAGAACAGTTTGCAACCATAGGTGCAACAGGTCTGGGTAACTGTACAGGCACTGAGCCCCCTGAGGATTTGGATGACTGTATTGAAGTGCTGAGTAATCCTGCCTGATAACTCTGCCGGCCGGCTGTGGTTGTTGTGGTTGATGAGAATTGCCTGTGCACTACAGCTACTCCAACTGTTTCACTTGGATTTAGTCTTTCAGCCTGACAAAGGGTTGTGGCTGTGCAAGTCAAGGGGATCTGGTCTTGTGTGGAGCTGAGAGTATTTGTCTTCATGATATCACAAGTTTGCTTTGGTGTGACGGGATGAACACTTTTCCTCCCAGAAGTTTTGAACGAGGCAAAGCTTTGCTTACTCTGACAGGGTGACAGAACAGAGTTGAAAGTACATCCATCACTTCCTGTTGTTTTATCCACCCCATGCAGTGAAGGAATTGCACCAGATTCAGAATCATGAGGTAACTTTAGCTGGTATTTGGGCAGGAAGCTGGCCTTGGCAGTGGGGGGGGTCGGCTGGGGAAGTGCTAACAGACAATGTATTTGCATTGATAATGAGCGCTGTGTGTTTTTGAGTTTTTGGAGGGTTCATACAACTGAGATCTTTATCCTGCTGAGGTGTACTGCTACTGACAGACTGTTTTTGAGTCGGTGTGTTAGGTTTGGTTTCCATCTCCAGAAGGCAAATTATTTTGTCATTAGTCTTCTTTTTTTCCCTGTCAGAGATAGTTTTGGCTCCACAGAGCTGCAATGTGGAGCCAAAATGTTTTTCTGCATCAATAATTGTTCCTGCTTCTGCTGTGCTCACACTGTCTGCTTGGTGGCTAACCAATGGTCCAATTGAAGAAACTGGCAGGTTTCTCCGAAGCGGTGTCCTGAGAGAGCTGCATGATGTATGAAGCTGGCTAGTTTTTATATTCAAAACCTTTGCAAAGACAGGGGTTTCTGCAGGAAGATAGCCTGAATGGCACACTGTGTCACTGCTGCTGCTTGTGAGGTTTATGGTTGAATCTGTTATTGTTACTGTCTCCTTATGAACTACTGAGAAACTCTTTGGCAGGCCCCGCCCAACCTCCTGCTCTGGGTCTGTGGAACATTTCCTGCCTTTGTTAACACTATCATCACCACCCTTTTCAGCATTGTAAAGCTTTTTGAATGTGCCTTCCCCATACATGTACCACTTGTTGTAGGCAAACTTCTGTGCTTTTTTCCTCCGGAACTTTCTGCTGCTTGGCTCTCCACAAATGTCACCACCGTCACCGTCGCAGCTGAGACTGCCGGTGCTGGCCTCCTCCACAGATGAACTTGTGAAAAGAGCGTCTGTTGCGTGGTTGCCATCTACGGCTGTCTGCCGGACCAGTGGGCGGTGGGGGGATGTATGCTGGTTCACAGGCTGAACAAAACCTGTCGGAGTGATCTGGCCAGAGCTTTCCCTCCGGACAATTCTTACATAATCATTCTGACAGCAGGATGTTGGGCTGCTCCTGTCCGGCTGCAGGAGGGCCACACTGAAAGGGAGGGAGTGGCTGCGGATGAGTGGGGCATGCTCCACGGTGTTGGATCGCTGAGTGGGCACGGAGGTGTAGAAGTTGGGCTTCTTGTGTCTTTGTAACCCAACATTTGGAGCCTTACTGATCCTCATATCAAAGTGAAAGGAGTCCTTGTATGTGTACGGCATGGGGAGGTCAATGCTACCCTGCTGGAACAGAACTGTCTTTCGTGGCCTAACGTTTTCTAGCTGTTTGTCCTCCACAACAGCTGTGTTCTCTGAAATCAGCTTCGATATGTGCTCCTCTAGTGATTTCTGCTCCCTGGCCATGCATTTGTGTTCCTGTTCAGCCTGGCCTGGTCCTGAAGTTGTGTTTGTGCTGGTGGTGTCTTTAGGATACTCCTTAGTGGATTCGGTAAGGGAATCTATACTGTGGTCAGTTAAAAGGCTGCCAGGGCTTGGGTAGTGGTCCCCGCTCTCACTGAAGCCTGAGTCTGTGCTCTCATGGCTCTGGGATTTCCCTCTGGATACAGAACTCTCCCACTGCTTGGAGAACAGAGTGGCTTCTTGTCTCTGAAGGGGAAGATGTCGACTGGCAGTCAGTGGAGGTTTCTCATTTTCCGTCCTCTGTTTTTTTATTGTTACCTTTGCACATTCATTTTCTTCTGACTTCTGACCTGCATGGGTCATGGCATTCTGTATACCGACAGAACCCTGCGTCTGTACAGAGAAGACCTTTGCAGTACTGGCCGGGCTGTTGGTGTCAGCAGGTGTGGCATCCTGTTCCATGCTGCTGGACTCCCTGCTCCGCTCGTCCAGAGACGGGCTGGAGGTACAGGTCTCTCTGGAGCCGGACATGCTGTCCAGACTGCTCATGCTGCTGTGCTCTGACTCAGACCAGAGGCGAGCATGAGCCTGCGTACGCTTGTGTTTGTAGAGGTTGCTCTGAGTTTTGAAAGAGACTCCGCAGGTGGTGCAGGGATACGGCCGCTCCCCGGTGTGGCAGCGGAGATGCTTCTCCAGCACACTGGGCTTCATACAGTCCCGTCCACAGTGAGAACATACATGTTTTCCTGTGGACTTGGGTCTGGCTGCAGGAGCAGCCGCGAGCAGACTCAATCCCGGCTGACACTGCAGTCCTCCATTAATATGGAGTGTGAGAAAGGGAAGTGTCTCCTTGGAGTAAAGCGGCGGCATGGCCACATGCAGTGTGGCTGGCTCTCGGGGAGCTGCAGGAGGCACTGCTTGGATATAAACCGCCGTCAGTGGAGCATGGAGGTCCATCCTTCGCTCTCTCTGCTCTGCGACTGTGCTGATGCGCACTGAAGCACTCTGCAATCCTGGCTTGCCAGTCTCCATGGTAACCCTGCTGCTGTCGTGATGTACCAGATCCAAGTCTGCAATTACCTGTAAGATAAGAACAGTTTGCATTAGACCTCTGCTGTGCCTCAGATCAAACATTGCAATCGATTTTAGCCAAGATGCTAGTTGCTCATAAGGAGGATATTAGTGTTCTGTTTTGGAGAGTATTTGCATAGCATCATCAGAAAAGAAGACAGGAGCAAAGCACCATATAAATATACAAAAGCAACTAATGATAACAGATATGCAATATTGTTAGGATAGATGGCTGATATGGCAATCAAAACAATTGGAATTTTTCATGTGTATAAAATCCAGAAAGACATGGGTGCAATTCTACAGCACCAAAATAAACATTTAAATGTTAGCAGTAATATTCATGTTACAGAGCGCGGAGAAAAATTGAGGCATTGAAATCCGTGCTAAGTAACTTTAAGAGCAGGCTGTGCAGGAATACAACTCTTAAGATGTGTTTTATATGCAGGCATAGAAATGTATATATGCAGTACAAAGAGAGAGGGAGGGACGTAGGAGAGGGGCGAGGGACTGAGAACTGACATTCGTACATAAGAAGCTTTCATCTCCCAAATAAAGTGTGTCAGCCGACAAAAGCCTTTGGAGCGGGTTTAAAAAGAGGCAAAACTTGTTCTGAAAACCAGCTTCTGCTATAGCAAGAACACACTCTAACAAAGCTGTAACCAAAAAGCAAACATCTCTAGACTCATTTCTTGTTTCATTCTGTCTCTATTAATTGGATTTATAATTATTCATCTTATGAGGGAATGAAATAGAAAATATCTGATGGTGTGTAGGCAAGACTAAACCAAGATACCAGAACACAACTGAAAACTGTGAAATCAATCAGTGAGAAGTCACTTACCTTAATACTGTTCAATCAGCAACAGACGTCTGACTTAGAGAGTGCTGCACACTGAACAGCCCCATCCTCAGTGTACCTGCTCAGGCAATCTGTTCCTCTCTCACAGCTCTTTCATGTCAACTGCTTCTTGTTGAGGAAGCGGAACAAATGCAAATGAGAGAGAAGATGCACTATGAAAGTGGTGAGGCAGAGAGGAGGAGAGTGAGTGAAGGAGAAGGGCTGGCTGAGTGTTTGGCTGTCAAACAAAGGCTTCTAGAGGACAAGTTGAGAAAATAGATTACACAGTGTGATCAGCAGAAGAGCCTGGAAGAGTTGGATGATGATCGGGTTGTGCAGAAGTGAAAGCGACTGCTTGGCAAAGGAAGTGCAGTGACAGTGGCGAGCTTACCTTCAACAGTCACGTGGGCTGACTGACTGACTGACTTTACCGCCAACAGTTATATGCTTGCTCCCCCACCTACCTACTTCCTCCCACACTAGTTGATACACCCACAAAGACAAGGGTGCAGCAAAGCTAATGTTGATGTGGGCTGCTTTTCCTTATGTGCACTGCTCTCATTCTCTCAGGCAGAGAACAGATGGATGACTTGTGAGTAAAACTCATACCTCAAGCCCCATTACACCAGGTCATACAGCACATGCTTATACATGTGTCTATTATGAGTCAAATGTATTTTCTGCACTTTAGAAACACAATACAGATGGAGTTGCTCTCTTTTTAACTCAGGATTCTTACAAAGCCTGAGGAATTATGTGTTATCGGTTTCAATCTTTTGTTTAGTCTAATGTCATCAAACAGATAATAGTGATGTTAACAGTTCATGGCAGCATAAAAAGACAAATGCAAAACATACTTCTACACATACACATCCACTTCTTGTCCACTCCATGGTCACTAGTGTTACATGTCAATGTCCGAGGCCCAGTTGTGGACAGCATGAAGAAAGACAGTCAGTCTGAGTATGAGCTACATCACATGTTGCAAGTGCTCTTATATAACAGACTGTTACAAGATAATTAATACAAAAATTATAATATTTAATCTAAATAAATAGATATTTAGTATTTGTATACACTAACATATACAGTATATTATATGCAACATAATGGTATATATATTATGTATAATACTCATATACATGGGAGAGTCAAGTACAACCATATTCATATTTCACTAACAGTAGTCAACTGATTCATTCTTAATACAAAGTGTTTACTATGTATAAGTGTTGTATGTGTAAGTTGATATATTGACTTTTAAATGTGAATATATGAAAAGCATTTCAAAATATGTATACTCTCAATAGCTCTGATGTAATGGATTTTTTTAAAAGCAGGATTTTGAATCAGTATGTCATTCACCTGGGATAAATTGCAATTATCAGAAAACACATAATTTCACTGCTACAGACTCTAGCTGGTCTCCACGGCAACTGCAGGCTGATCCCATGAGAGCATGCTTTGTGTTGACATGGTAACAAGACACCTCTCTTACCGTGCATGTTTTCTACCCCCGTACAGAGCTCAGTCCTAGTTTCAGGCATGTTTGCATGTTTTACAGACAAATGAAATCCTTTCCAATCACAGTAAAGTGTATAAACATGTCTTTCCCCAGACAGTCAGTCAACAGCAATGTGTAATGTTTTTGATAGATTCTATTGTTTGCCACGGAGTGAAACTGTCAGACATGTTGAGTTATAGATACCACCCTGCTGAAAAAACCAGCATGGACCAGCATGGACTTCATGCTGGTCTTTGCTGGTTTATGCTGTTTCATGCTGGTCTATGCTGGTGAAGCTGGTTGTTATGCTGGTCTGCCGGCACAAAAGGCTGGTAGACCAGCATGGTGTTGCTGGTGAAGCTGGTAGACCAGCCTGGTGTTGCAAGACCATGCTGGTATACCAGCTTCACCAGAAGTTGGATTACCATTTTAGCTAAATGAATAGAGAGAGAGACATAGAGAGACAGACAGACAGACAGACAGACAGACAGACAGACAGACAGACAGAGAGGGCGGGACACGGAGGACCTGCGAGATAGCAGTGGTTGAAACAAAGTGGTTTAAAACATGGTTTTTAACTGCCGCTAAAGGTCGGGGAGTGAAGATCGTTCTTATAGAGTGGCTCCATGGGACCTTATTTCGGAAAAGTTATGCATTGAAGTCAATGGAGAGAGAAAGATTATCTTTCGATCCCGTTTGAATTGTGCCACGAATTACACATATGATGTTTGTCAATTTAAAAGATTAAAAAAATTAAAATGTGTCGTAAAACTGTGAAGTAACACTTTTTTTGTGTGAAGCGCTCAATGAACTACATCTCCCGTCTCGCACCACACACCAAGACGGCCGTCACGTTGGCATATTTCACTTATTTCTTTCAGAAAGAGGCGGAAAGTATTAAAGTAGGTGAAAATCACTACAAGTCTGGGCATGTTGAGAGCTGTACATACACAAAAGGGGAATTAGTCGGGACCGGGATTCTGGGATTTGTAGTCTTTCTAGTTGCGTATTTTTCATAGTCTTATATTTCAACAGTTTTACGACAAGCTGTGACTTTTTTGACATGGAAATTATTATTTAAGATTGACAAACATCATATGTGTAATTCATGGCACAATTCAAACGGGATCAAAAGATAATCTTTCTCTCTCCATTGACTTCAATACAAACTTTTTCTGAAATAAGGGCCGTTTCTCAATCTCGAGGATACTGGCTTCCAAGCCAATATTTCAAGGATGCTACGTCATCGAGTGCCGCCGAAGGACTGTTCCAATCTCCAGCATACTTGGAATTCCACCGAGGCCGCGTCCTTGGTTTGGGGGAAATTTCGAGGCTGCACATGGGTAGACTTCGCGTCCTTAAAATCCCCACAATGCTTTGCACACGGACCCATTTAAAAAACCCTTGCGGAGAATGGCTGAACCGACGCAGCACACATTTAAATGTAAGTATGTAGTGGCGTAGAACATGTGTTGGTAAATATGTTACATTTGTTATCATCAAAAATGTGTTCCGTGAAAGTAAAGCAAGTTCATAATTAGATAGACATCGTGAGGTATTTCTTTTCGGTACAGTTTATGTTGAAACTGTTAGAGAGAGTGGCACACTTGTTAGCCTGTTCCATTCTTCTTCGTTTTCCGAAGTCGTGGCTTGGAAGCATACTTGCTTCGTTTCTGAAGGAAGTGACTTGGAAGTACGCAACTACCAAGCCAGCATCCTCGGGATTGAGTTAAATATTATTTTGATAATAACATATATTTCAATGTTGATGAATTTCATACTGTTCATTCATAATCTGATTACAATTAAAACATAATTATATCAACAGCCCCATAACACACAAACACACCTCTTTCATAAATAACACACTTGTTCTGCAATAATGTTTTATGTTTCCTGTAATTTTTGTTAGGAAAGGACATGCCTGAAAGACACGACATCTTCTCCTTCTCTGAGGGTCAAGAAGAACATCCAAGAGGAACATTAAAAGCTGATGTTATGAGATTTTAAGACCAGTACAGGACATTCACTAAGAAACTACTTTTATTGTGAAAACAAAGATCTGCACACCGAATATTTTTGTAGTCTATCAGGACCATCATTTGTTTGTGACGCTGCACCTCAGAGAAGGGGTGGTTATAGTCAGGCTTATAAAGTGTGGCGAAAAACATAGTCAGCTGATCGAATGCACCTATTTCCACATCGACACTCCATCAGCTGATTATTTCTATTTGCCTCACTTTATGAGCTTCACATCACTTGTGCCTTGTACTGCAGAGTTTGCAACGTCACAAATAAATGGGGCCAATCTTCAGTCAGATGTGAATGTGTAATCTAACATTTTCAGAAAGAATAATGGACAAAAGGAGTGCAAATACAAATACAATTTATTGAAATGTGAACCAAAAGTTAATCAAATGTTTTAAATAAAAAGCACATATGGACAGAAGGTGTAAACCTATTAAATGTATAAGTGAACACATTTAGTCAAATAAAGTGACAGACTAGGCCTGTGCAGTTGGTATCAGCTGTGCCCAGCATGGGCTCCTCCATCAGGCCTGGTCCTCCTCGCTGAGGAAAGACCCTCAGTCCTCTCCAAACCAACAGACAGGACGTCCATCACACGGAGGTTTCTCCCTGAAGTCTCTGCAGCCCTCTGGACACCATGCTGTCTCAATCCGTCCACACTGTGTGTCAGCAGAAAGTATTACAAATAATGATTACAAAAAAATGCAAAAAATAAATTAAAAAATATATTAAATATATTTTAAGATCATGTTTAATCATCTGATTCGTCTGTACATTGCTGTTTTAGTATGTGTTCTTCTAATTAGTGTCTACAGTGTGTGCCTATTGAGCTGTTTAGAGCCATGTGGGACAAAACCCGATCCTGCCCCTCTCTCTTACTGTCTAAATTAATGGTGACTGTAAAAACTACACTGCGCATGCTCAGAATATTTTCCTATTTAATGTGTGTGGCAAAAAAATAATGACCATAGGGGCATAGTGCTGCCATCCCCACCATACGTCATCTCACATCATTCAGAGCTGATTGGCTGTAAGTACGTGTGCCGCGAAAAATGTGGTGTGTGAAGAGGAGACAAGAGACGCGTCCTAAAACCAGGAAGTAAGCTGCGCATGGGTTCCCTCCACAAAAAAGCAATGAGATTTCTCCATAGGATTTTAGAAAATAGCTCCAAATAAAATCTGTGGGAAACAAACAGATAAATGCACGTTTTGTTCAGCCGGATAATATCCACATGACTACCCTACTTTTATAATTTTCGAATCATAAATCTATTGATTAGATTAGATTTATGATAGACTTTTGAAACTACAAGAATATAAGGAGAACTTTTACAAAAAAGTAATAGAGATTTTTGTCCAGAAGGATAGGCAAATGGGCTTCATCTTCAAGTAAGACTGCAATTTTATTGAAAATGGGATCTTACTTCAATATTGAAATGATAAAATTACATTTTTTGGGTATCCTTCTGTTGAACTGTCTGTTTAAAATTAATTGAAGCATCAGACAAAAAAAGCTTTTGAAAATAATATTATATTTTGATTTAGGTCAAAATATAATATTTGTAAACCTGAAGAGTCAGTGCCAGTGCCTCACCAGCCATGAACCTCACTGCAGAAGCTTATATAGACATCTGAGTTTTTTGTGCCCCACCACTTTTGTACATATAAAAACGCCACTGGATATATTGCACATGTTTGCTGTAATTCATCATTTGTAAAATATTATACTACATGGGCTGTATGATGTAAATCTTGTACCGTAAATCTTGTATTAAATAAAGTTAATATTACCGACGTAGATTAACGTTCCTGTAGCTTCTTATTGCACTTGCAATTGTTTTAGTTATTTGTGGGCTACTTAACATGA